CCGCGTTTTAGTTCCCCTAACACAACAAATTCATGCTTTAGTAAATTTTTTTATTTGCTTTTAATGAATTTTTCATGCATATATGAAATTTCTATATCTATACATAGAATATATTCTATATAACGCTGCGTTATTTATAAATCAATATGTATATTTTATATATGACGAATTTCTTTTCTTTTTTCTTTTTTAATATTTGTGTATAATAATATATATTATTATAATATAATTTTAATATTATGTATAATATATATATATTTAATATTAAATGGAGATTTTCACGTGAGTGATATGCGAAATATATTGCATTCAAAATATATTGCGTTCTTGGTTTTTCTGGAATAAAAAAAAGTTCTCCCGTGAAAACGCTGTATCGATTTCGATGTCAATGTATCGCAAAAGAATAGCGTAAAATATGGCGCAGATTGACAGGTGTAAAGATAGAGCCGCGATAATACATACAACTGGTATACGTCGCAAATAATTCGCGACACATAACCAGAATCATAAATTGCACGGATCATATGCACAGATAAATGCTTCTCGATTTGCATCTATTTCTGCTAAGCTTTGAAATACGAAGTGTGTTTCGAAACGACATGTATGTACATGCATCAAGTTCCCTGACGATTCAAAGTTAATTGTTACGCGACGCGTCATGTAGAATTTTTTTTTTTTGACTTAATCGCACAATTACTTCACTTTTGTCGAATTCGTACAGAACAATAACACCGAGGACATTTAAAAAAAAAAAAATAGAGCATTCATTTTTCTGCGAAAGTTAAATGACAAAAGGTTGATGAAAGCTTCTCTTTTTTTCTTTCAAAAAAAAAAAAAAAAAAAAAAAAAAAAACAAGATTCCCAATGTATTCGTCGGCAATAAAGTTTTTAGCATCAGAAGTATATAATCTCGCAGATTTTTATTTTTAATTTTGAGAAATAATGGTTTCGTCGCCTACGATAAAAATTGTAGAAACGTACGAGGAAACATTTCTCGTTTCAAAATTCCGGTTCATATGCAGGGCACTTTATTTCTCGCGAGACCCTTGACGTCGGAGGTAAGGAGAAAGCGAATCTTGAATGGATGAGATGCAAGTTTGCAAACGTCACGGGGCTTCTTAGGGGACGAATACGAACTGCATATGGCAAAGGAACTAATCTGTAATCGCGAAACAGGCGAGCGAACCGAACTTTCCACGATTAAGACGTTGCGAGAAATATTCTAAACGGGATCTTTAGATATCCGACATGATGCTGTCAATCTTTGAAGTAATCCTTGGGGCCAACATCTCGTATATTTTTAATCTAAATTTGTCGATAATATTAGGGTACGTGTATGAAATGAACGCAAAAGCGTAAAAGCGTGATACGTTCGAGTTACTGAAGTACGAAAATTGATCGAAATTAAATGAAATTGTTAAATAATAAAATATCTGATATTAAGATTCAAGTCTCCTCTTTTCATTTAAAAATCACAAAGAAATGGATAAATGAGAAAAAAAGTTCTTAAATTTAACCTGTCGATTCAAAATCCAATTTAAAGCGAGATCAATATTCGTGTCTATAAATGGACGATTAGATTTCCCTGCGCGAGAAAAAGTTGAATAGATAGATTGAAAAATAATAAAAAAAAAAAAAAAAAAAAAAAAAAAAATGATGTACGAAATATTGTCGATAGAAGAATTAATATAAAAGGGAAAGGAGAACAAAAATTAGATATTATCAATTTATGAGCTTAAAAAATGAATTTCCAGAGAAGTTGGAATATCGTTGCTCGATACTACTGACCCACATATAATCCAGTAAAATTCGGTTCGGCTTCGTTATCATGTACGCGAGGGATCGATCAATATTTTAACAGGTGAGAAAAGAGATTATTTATCTAGAAAGTGCATCAATACGTTATGTGATTTTACAATTTACGAATCTGCATCTACGTGGCTTTCGATAAAATTTTCGTTTTACATTCTGATGGATTTCACGCGTATCGCGACGCAATGATTCGCACGATCGCGACGCGCCGCTATAAATTCGAAAGCTTTTGCAATCGCAGGCTTGATCTTGATCAATCGATCGACTCATTGGCGAATCTGCATCATTTCTGCCGGATGTCTTCGAGCAGAGCGAGGATCTTTCGTTTCAGGAAACGCTCGTCTATTTGTCTGTCACCGAGCAAGACGTTGTCACTATAATTTCACGTCGATATCCGACCGAGTATATAAATTATTGACACGCACAAATGGAACGTTAAACTAAGCATTTCATTTGCGAACGACGCGGATTTAACGAGAATTGATTTCACTATTTACGTTCAAAAATAATAATTAGCCGTTGGAGATATAATCAAATGTGTTCAATTAGCAATTTTAATTAACTGTAATTACGTATTTAATTTTCATCTGCGTTAAATGTTATCGATCCAGACTAGCTAATGATAATGAATATTCTTTGTTAAATTTTATTAATTTTCATTTGAACGTCATATTTCTTTCTTTTTCAATTATACATAACAGAAACAGTAAAAACTCCCGGTTAGTTCCTGGACTGCTATCCAATTATCTCTTAATTGACATTTTAATTAAATTGTTCTCCGATGAGAAATTTCCACAATTATTAAATCATATAGAGAAAAGAAAGAGAAGAAGAATTGTCTTGGGAAGACGAGCTAACATGTCATTATAAACTCTTTTCTTACTTATTTAAAGATTTACATTTTGATCAAGAAATAAATTGCATCGTGCTCGTATCTACATTCGTCTAAGTTAACTCTAGGCTGACAAATTTCTCTTTCACATTTTTCTCCTCACTGGACAGGGAAAGACTAATCGCAAATCCCTTGCCTCACTCACCCAAATCTTCCATCTTTTCACCTGTCGTCGTAAAGATAAATTTCATCATATTCACATCCGCAAGGACTGAAACTCCCTGCTTAATGATCAAATAATCCCCTTCCCTTTTTATCCTTCTCACGGAAGACTAATCGTAGGTCTCTTTCCCTGCTTGCAGCAAAGATCACCCATTTTTCTCACGTCAGCGCGTTCCTTTCGAAAAGAAGTTCCATCGCGACATTTACAAGAGCTAAAACTCCCCAGGTTTAACAGGTTTCTCTCCATTCCCCCGATTACAGCTCGGCCAATTGTTGCACGCGAAACAACAACCCCGACTCTGTCGAGTACAATTCTGCTCGTTTAAAAGCTCGTTAGACACGCTTTTTTCGGCTAATCTCTCGGCCGAGAAATGCAAAAGCGCGTGGCCCGGGCGGACGATCGTACGAAAAAAAAAAAAAAAAAATTATGCGACTCGGCTGTAAAATGGGGAGGAAGGAGAAGGAGGAGGAGAAATCGCGGCCGCTTTCCCAGCTCTTTATTGTGCGACGGACGGATAACCTAAATTCACCTATTTCACTGTCCCTGCACATTCTGAATGCCGCTATTTGCGCACGCAAATTTGCGGTCCTGCGACGACTGGACCCAACCGACGCGCAAATGCAAAAACTTGCCCGGGGGGGAAAGGGGGCAGTTCTCTCGTTCCGCCGAAACTTCGCGCTTGCCCGCCTGAAATACAAATTCCATATGCGCTTCCGTCTTTTCGAAAATGAAATAACGAGCACCCGGCGCGTTAGCCGCACAACACGTTAGCTCTCGCTTTCGTAACCACGGCCTTTGAAACACAGTTCACGCGAACTGTGTATTTCAATTCCTGAAAATTATAAATCACGTCGCGTAACTATATCGTCTATACTGAAATTGGATATATTTTATAATATGCATTTGTATATTATGTAAAATATAAAATATATATATATATTTTATAATACATTTTTAGATATTATATAAAATGTAAAATTTATATATTTTATAATACATTTTTATATATTATATGAAATGTAAAATTTGTATATTTTGTAATACATTTTTATATATTATATAAAATGTAAAATTTGTATATTTTATAATAGATTTTTATATATTATATAAAAATATAAAATTTATATATTTTATAATACATTTTTATATATTATATAAAATGTAAAATATATACATTTTATAATACATTTTTATATATTATATAAAATGTAAAATTTACATATTTTATAATACATTTTTATATATTATATAAAATGTAAAATTTACATATTTTATAATACATTTTTATATATTATATAAAAAGTAAAATTTATATATTCATAAAATATAAAATATATTGTATAAAATATAAATTAAAATATATAATATATATTGTAATATATATTATAATATTTCTTTTGGAAATGATTCGTAGTTTGAGCGACGTGGTCCGTAAGTGAAGACTGAGATCGTTTTATTTTAACTATTTTATGTGTGTTTCATATTGTGAAACTAGGGAACAATTTGAGATGTAAAATGCTGATTTATTCCACGTCCATGTGTTTCTATGAAAAATTCAGCCTCGCAGAAATTATTTTGATCAATCTCTCAATCGTAGACGTGCTACATATAGTGTATGTAATTTCGTTTTTTTATTTAATATATAATTTAAGCATTATCCGCACGATTTGTCAATTTTGTAGCAACATAAAATTCTGGTAAGAGCCAACAATACCAATATTATTATTCTATTCGATTCGAATCGAATGACCGACAAAAGAAAACCGTCTGCAAATCCCGACAACTTTAACTTTCTTTCACGTCTCTCTTTGCATTAAAATTGCAATTTTTCAAAGAATAATCTCAATTTCGAAGGCGTGTTGTACGCAGCAGTGACTTAACATTAATCCCCCCTCCCTGTTTCTTTTTTTCGTAAAATTTCTCACGTAGACAGGCAATGGCGACGTTAGGATCGTTCGATCCAGCGAAATGTGTACGCAGTCAAATGTATCGACTGTCACTTTCCTGAAAGTTATCCGTTGCCACGGATCGACTCGGGGGTTGCCCCGGTCGAGCGTCGACTATGCTGCGACAAAAGAAAGAAACGAGAAAAAAAAAAAAAAAACGGAGGTGGATATGCTAAGAAGGACTTACCGGATCAGCTCGAAGATCTCTGGCTTTTCCCGCTCTCTCTGCTTCATTCTCTCCTTCATGGCCGTGATGATGCTATTTGCCTTATCCTCGGCACCGTGCTTCGAACTCTTCTCGGCCGCCCCTGCGAGAATGAAACAAGAAGAAACGATGAAGACTTTTACTTTGCCCGACGTAACGTTGTTCAGTTGGTTCACGTTCTAGTGTTTTATTTCATTTCTGTACGGAGAATATTTTCTCCGTACGGGTAAATTGAAGCGGTGGCCGTGTGTACAGGTTCTATATTGACTGTGGAGGGCGATAAGAAAACAAGGAGTCTTCAGAGTCTGAATAGGTGGATAGAACAAATGGAGAGGGAAGATTTTTAGCAAACTTGGGCTTGGTTCAACGTTGTAAAAATTTTGTTTGCTCTGGTTAAAGCTCTTTCCTATTTTAATCCCTGGATTTTGCACATTCGGGATTTTCCTCTTTTCTTTTAAAGTTGTAAAAAATTTTTCGTTCCGACGAAAACGTTTTCCGGTGTTTTTTTTCACTCTTTTCTCACGTGTGGACTAAAGATTTTTGTTTGATACTGTATTAAATATGACGTTTAAGACAGAACATAATATATTATTTTATTTGAATACGATAATACATTATTGACACTAGAACTATTAAATCATGAAATTTCTATCTAGAGACACTGAAATAAAAAGAAATGGAGAAATTTTATAACACAATTTAAATCTTTAAAAATACGCTGTCCTGCGTCTATGAAATATTTAATAGAAATTATAAATTTGTCATTTCGATCATTTTGGTAGGTCTAGTGTTAATTAGTGTTATTAAAATTTCAATGAAACATTTAGAACGCAAAGAGACAGGACAAATGACGGCATTTTGCTTATGATTTATCACTACATAATTTTACACGATTCTAAGCATGTAAATATATTGGATAAAAATAAAGAAACTAAATAATTTTAAGTCAGAAATATTGGCTTTCGTCCTAAAACCTCCGACAAGAACTTGTAATTTATTCATTTTCGAAAGATTACAGCCTAACGACTTGAGCAATTAATATCTTGACATCTGGCAGCTATATTTCGATAATTGATAATTAATTTTACTAAAATATTCTCTATTCCTCCTTCTCTGACGAAAACCTACAGCTCTTTCCTTTCAAAATTGATAAACAAAAATAGTAACCGGATCACATGATTACTTTTAATCCCCCTACAGCGTGACTCGCAGAATGTGTTAATGTAATTTGATTTAATCAGTAGCTGTTGTAGGTCAGTAACTAATTCAACGCACCGTCGTATCGCGATCTATCGTGGGGATTAAAATGGCGTTAAAAATGAGACACACACATATTGCACACTTTATGAAACTCGTGTCTAATGAACATGTGCATACATACAGGAGGATTTAATGAAATGCACAACCAGCTTGAGCGAAATATCCTCTGCTTTGCGATATTTGCAAATTAAATTAAATTCCCTTTCTCCTTCATATTTATTTATCATGTATTACGTTCGTTGCTTCTTTGTACTCGTTCAAAGCAAATTTTTCTTTTTCTTTTCCTCTCTCTCTCTCTTTTTAAAACGACTCGTCTACAGATTTCACGCGGATGAACACTTTTGCTACATCGTTGCCCGGCTATTTTGTGAAAAACTAACGCGCGAGCATTTTCATAATTAAATATATTCCTCTTGCTAACTGTAACATCCTTCTTTCTTAATATCATTGTGTTTATAATTCTGTTCGTTACAATTAAATTAGTGGATGTTCATGGAAATTTCGTGTTATTACGAACAAAGAAATAACTACAACGGGTTTCGTACATTGGACATTTCACGAAGCTTTGCGCTTTTAAATTTACATTTCTCGCAAATACACGAAAACTCTCACGCTAAACAATACGATATTCACAACTTGTAAAATTTTATTTTTTGTATTTGAAATTTTTTAAATGATCGTTACGAATTCAGCCAAGCGCGTTTATATTTTTGAGGCCATTTTAATTCCTCTGTTCAGCAACGACGTGTCCATACTGAAATTTATTAATTTTATAAAATTTAATACAATATATACTTTCAATCTTTTTTACCAAATCGTATAATGAATCCTCATACAATAAGTAACAAAAATATAAATATTATTTTTAATGTAATATGATATAATATAACATATAAATATAATAAATATAATATAACAAAATATAATAAAAATATAATATAAATAATATTTATAAATAATGTGAATAATATTTAAAACATAATAAAAATAATATTACACATAATTCATAAATAATAAATTTAATAAACAAATATAATAAATATAATAAATAAAAATTATAATTTGTTGGAAATATGTAAACATGTTACAATATGTGATAAATAAATTTTGTCATATTTTTCTTAATAAATATTTCACTATCATTTCGGTAATTGTTTCACAGAGAATCTTACTTTTGGCACAGTATATTCATTTACTTTCATTCCCCGATCGTCACCAATGAACGCGTGCGTGTGTCTCGTCAATCTGCTTTAACGCCAAGTTTCGCGATTCCGATAGAAACTAACGCAACTTTTCATCGTAATTTCTCGGCGATTTCTCTTTGAACAGCTTCCGCGGTCTCGGTTTCGAAGGGTGGTACGCGGTCCTTCAAACTTCCGTATCCGGGAGATACGCAACCGTGGAAATACGTAACCACCGCCGCCGCGTCTTTTGTCGACCGGAACATTCGAGGAGCTTTAATTTTCCGGTGTAAGCATCTCGCCACCGCGCATCACGTTTTATGCATCAGGCCGGGGCTTCGCCGCGCAAGTAACATCCACCAGTGGTGGCTTAACCAGACCGGAAATTACGCGTTCTGATCGTTCGGATGCCAGACTTCACCGGATCGGCGGCAACTCGTTGACGAGAAATCGATCTCCCCCCTCCCAGCTGGAAAAATTCGCACCGACGGCGAACAAACTCGGAAAAATGGACAACACTTTTGGGAATTCGTCGCGCTTCTGTCGTCAACCGCGTGACTGAAAAAAGAAAGAAATGGCCGTGTCGAGCCCGTTGAAATTTTGTCGACAAGCAGATTCCAGTGAAATGAAAAATTTGTCGATGGCTGCACGCTCGACGAAAGTTGTTTCGCGCAGGTCTGTTCTGCTGGAACAACGTTTCTCGTACGCTTTGTGTGTTGCGCGTAAAATTTTTAACTAGGTTATACGTCGTTGAAGTGCGATATATATATATATATGATTCAGAAGGTGCGATCAAACGATTCGTTACAAGCGAATAATTGTCCCTTCGAACATTTGCAAGCAGGAAACACGATTTTATAACAATTCTATAACAATGCTAAGTCGATTGGTATTTTTATATTCATTCCTCGTTGTCTTTATATTCGTTTCGTTTCGAAATCTTTGAATCTGTGTAAATCTCTGTGTAAATATTTAAACGTGCGTTTGTAGCGAATAAAGAGGAAATTCAGGAGAAAAACTCAGGGAAAGGTCGCGTTTCGAAACAGCGCAACAGAGAATACCATCCCCCAGGTTGAGGATGTTTTAAAAGCATCAAATGAAACAATGCATTAAATTTCCTGTAAATTTCGTAAAAAAAAAAGGCGCAATTAGCTCTCTGAATTTTTGAAACACCCCACAGATTCTCTCGAGTATTTCTAAATCGTGCCCAATATTTCGTGCTGTCTCTGACAATGAGTACGAATGTCGCTAGATCTTATGAAACATATTTCAATAATTGGCGAGATAATCCTCGAATAACCTGACAAAGGTTAAATTAATAATTCAATCCATCGTGAACATCAGCACGTCTCTCTATGATTAAGCGATTAAGTTCAAATGTCAACTGGCTTGTAACAAACGAATCGTAGTTATGTGACGTGTATTTTCATTGAAACATTTGATTTTCATGCGCGTCCTCGTCACCTGGTTTGTGGCCAATTTAAACGTGAACACGTGACCGATTGCCAGAAATACGCGAGGCAATTAGCGATCGATCGATAAAATTCTTTTAATTCACGCGAATCTTTCGAAATTAACTCTTCCCCACGTGAAAATTAACGACTAGCTTGTTTCCTGTAATCATGTTGCTGCTCACAGGCTTTCAACGAGACTTCGATAACGATTTCATTCCAATATATACGGTAGACTGTCCAAACGAGCAATAATTTTATTCTAGTAGGTCCATTACGAAAATAAATAACAGTTTGAAAATCACTACGAGTTAACTATTAGAAATACCAACAAGTAATGTCGCTTTCTTCAAATTCGATAAACACTGTCATCTAGTGACAATAATTTAAAACAATAATTCAAAGAATAAATCTGTTGCCGATATGAGTTACCATTATTTCTAAGTACACTATAATCACAACACAGAACGACGTTTGTCTTCGAAATTTCCAGTTCACTTGGTATTTTCGGCAACTTTTTCAAATGATCAAACGACAAATGATCTTGAATGAAGCGAATGAAGGTGCGGGATGTCATTAATCTAAAGTAGAGGATCACTAATGCCATTGCCACCATTGATGAGGGTGGTAACATGGCAAGAAATCGAGTACTGTCTTGATGTGCTTCGTAACAACTAATGGTGCCCATATAGAGGTATATTAAATGATGCAAGAAAAAACTTAAATAGATATGTCTCATTTTGTAATAATTTTCACTTATCTATCTTCTCAGTTTCTTTTGTAATAAATTTTTGAAATTGTAATGAGGCTTTACGGACACCCTGTGCAGACACATATACAGTGGGGTGCAAAATTGAGTCAATAACAAAAATTTTTAAGAAAAACATTGTTAAATAAAGTATAAAAACATGAAAATAATAAACTTGACTATCTGATTCTTTATAGTTTTAGGAAGCTATTTTTTTAACTTTTAACTTTCAGGTTTCTTCATAGTAGAAAAAAATTACAAAACATAGAATCAATTTTGCACTAGCGCTAATACTGTTTGAAAGTGTGCCAAGACGTATTACAGCTATTATCTAAGCAAATGACTTTACAGACAAAATATTAAGGTATGACGAAGCTTGTAAATCTGACTATGAAAAAAATTCTGGTGCAAAATTGATTCTACGTTTTTTAACTTTTTCAGTCAGGAAGAAACCCAAATCTTA